TTTTAGATTATGTGGAGGGAATCGCCATTCAGGCGATCAAACGATAAATTTCAAGTTTCTACCTTGATAGTTTTACTAGCTTAAAAGTATTATCCTTATATAAAGACTTCATATTATCTTGCATTGCATAAAACTCACCCTTTTTTATGTTCATATTACATAGTCTCTGTATAATATTCGGGTTCTCTCCCGTCAGTTAGCAACACATACTTATCAATAGAATATCGTTTGGAAGGCTATCGATCTCTAGTAGATCTCTTAAGTGAAATTTTTTATAAAACCTTTAGTTGAACCTCTGATACTGGTGACTATTCATGAGTATCATCACCCCCTTCAACCTATTTAAGACTGACATCAATATCACTTGTATTATGTTGGTTATCCTCAACATCTTCAATCTCTATAAACACGTGTTAAAGGAACTACATCCAAGTCAATCAAACAATCACTGCATCGAGTAATTGATGTATCGATTTTTTGAATATCTTGTATAGTTTGATTTTCAACCAAAACATTCATGCTTTTCACAAGTTTCTTTTACACTAGATCATAAAACTTATAGCCAAACACATCTTGACCATAACCAAAAGACACATACTATCTAGTTTTGACATCAAGCTTGGATCTTTCATCTTGGGAAATATACACAAAAACATTACATCCAAAGATGCACAAATGATCATAGGACACATCCTTGCCTGACCAAACTCTATTTGAAACATCAAAACCTATAGGAACACATGGTGATGATTCAAAACATATACATTGTACTTAAACCCTTACCCCAAAGGATTTTGAAAATTGTGCTTATGAAAGCAAACATCTCTATTTTTATTAGTGTCTTGTTTATTCTCTAAGCTAACCCATTCAACTGAGGAGTTTTAAGAGGTGACTTTTGATGTCTAATACATTACTGTCTGTAATACTCATTAAAAGGTCTAGTGTACTCATTCCCCTTATCAGTCTTTATGCATTTCAATTTCAACCCTTTTTGTTTTTCAACTAAAGCATGAAATTGTTTAAACACATCTAACACTTGATCTTTTGATTTCAAGGTATAAGCAGATATATTCCTTGAATAATCATTTATAAAAGTCACAAAATAGATAAGACCACCAAATGTTTTTGTTCTCATAGAACCACAAATATTAGAATATACTAAATCAAGTATACCTGACTTTTTTTATGGAAAAAATGTCTTGAATGCAACTCTATTTGGTTTTGCTGCCAAGCAATGAGTACATTTCTTTAAGGATTCATTCTTCACTTTAGAAAAAAAATTTTCTTAGCCAAAACCTTTAAACCCTTCTTGTTCATATAACTAAGTCACTTATGTCAAAACTTAATTATATCAACATTATCTACTGCATTAATAATGAAATTAGATACCTTCACCTACATCAAATATAATAAAAAGGCACTTCGGACCCTTAGCTACAACTATAGAACCTTTTGTGAGCTTCTATTAACCATCACAAAAGGCATTACAAAATCTTTCATCCTCTATCTTCTTTGCATAAATCAAATTCATGCGATTATCGAAAATATGTTTAACATTTTTCAAAACCAACATAGTAACATTATTGATCTCCAAGAACACATCTCCCATACTAATGGCTTTAGTTGAGCCATCATTACTCATTTTAATACTCTCAAAATTATCAAATGTATAAGATACAAAGTAATCTTTTCAAGATGTAGTATAAATTGTGACATCAATATCAATCACCCCAATTAGTCTCATGGTTTGCAAGATTAACAACATCATCATCATAAAAATAAGGAAATCATCTATAACGGTAGCAACTTTATCAGCATCATTACCATCACCATTCTTATTTTCTTTATCATTGTCACTATTATTGTCTCTTTTCCACTTCCAGCAATATTTTCTTATATGCCCTTTCAGAATACAATAATGATACTTAATATTGACAAATCTAATGGACTTACTCTTACTTCTATCTCTATTCTTCAGACTTTTACTTTTACTCTTCCTCATATTTTCTATTACTAAGACCTTAAGTTGTGAAAATGAACCCTGTGATTTTTTTCTCATTTCTTTATTTAAAATATCACTCTTAGCTAAATTCAAAGTAATAATACCATTTGAAGCTAAATTAAATAACACTGTTCTAAATGTCTTTCATGAGTCCGACAATGTAACAAGTAATCATAAGCTTTGTATCTCATATTCAAATTTGATATTCATGCCAACTAACTGATTAATAATACCTTGATATACATTCAAGCGATCTATCATAGAATTATCATCTTTATATTTCAAATTCATCAACTGCTTAATTAAAAACAGTTTATTATTTTTAATTTTTCAAGCATGCAATTTCTCAAGCTTGCTCCAAAAAGTGTGTATGTGTCTTTCCATTAACATATTCAAAATATTATCATCTACCCATTACCTAATATAACCACATACCTGTCAATGAAACAAATTTCATTCTATAGCTATTTTATTTTCAGGCTTTTCAATGACAAATATAGGTAAATAATAATCTTTTACATAAAGCAAATCTTTTATCTTCCTTTTTCACACATAGTAATTTGAACCATTGAAATTAATCATTCTACTTGTATTGACTTCCATTATTCAATAGAAGGCACAAATCAAATAGCTTAAGTTCTGATACCACTTTGATGGGATAAAATAATCTTAACTAATATTCAAATTGAATATGTCACGTAGCAAAAAAATCAAATTATCCCATTTTTTGTTCGAATCTAACAAGAATAAAAAAATAAAGCTAACAAATAAATCATCAAACCACAAGCACACAAACACAAGCAATTTATGTGAAAAATCTCCTCAAAACAAGAAATAAAAATCATGGGCAACAATAAATAATCATCATTATCAAAATAATAGGAATACAAAATTTTCTTCAACTAAAACTAGAGATATACAATCACAATATCTCAAAATTAAATAATCTTAATAAAAAAATAATCTTGCAAGAAAAAATTAAAAAAATCTCAATAAATTTAAAAATTAACAAACACCTACGAAATTAATAAATAAAAAACTCAAAATCTAATCTTCATCGTTCAAACTAAAAAATAATGAATCGTAAATATTTAATAAATTTTAGTTCAATCAGACAATAAATTGATAGATCATATTATTTGACGAAAATTATACAAAACCTCTTTACTTTTTTTTTTATTTTGTCCATACACTGTCTTGTATAAGGGTTTAAAATCTTATGACCAACCATGAAAGGATTGAAAAGTCCTTGGGCTTTGATTTAGGCTACCTCCACGTGGAGAAAACCAAGCCCAACACATTGTTAACATGGCAATTATGAAATAAACTGGATTACTCAAATCATATCATGATCAGAAGTTAATATAGATGCCTTAATTTTCAAAGATAGACAGCACATTTCAGATGGTCGTGTTCATTAATATATCGGCTGTTCTACTCACCCTCCCCGCCTGCTTCTTTTCTTGCATGTCCATTAGTAAGTATAGTTGAAACCAAACTTCCGCTGCAAAATTGTAGAATTTTCTGAATGATTTTTTTCCTTGTTTTTTTCCTGGAAGGGAAAAGGGATGGAAATGTGGAAACATTAATCAGGCTCACAGGAATAGCTGTATTTTGGATATTTTTAGCTGCTTGGAAGCTTGGAGAGATCACACAACTCAAAGCGAGAGAGTCAACTTGGTCTTCAACCAACTTCCAGCACAGAGCTAGAACAGCGGGGCTATTAGAAACCGGCTATGTGATAAACAGTTTCAAATCCTACAGCATCAAAAATTTAAAAAAAAATATGTAAAAATGCCGAAAGTACAACTGCCCTGAGAAATTGGTATTTTAACCCGATCAAGCAAATGTAAATTACGGGGTTTCTAATGTTCAGAGTAGAGGCAAAATGGCAAGCATTAACAGAAAACAGGAGCATATTTTTCTTAGCTAAAAGGCCAGAAAAATACTCTTGTCAAATTTCAACAAAGGAACATTAACAACCAGCCAAGTTATCCTCCTAGAATCTAGCTTTTTAACTTTCCAGTCTTCAAATACCAGGAAACAGTGCTAGTGTTTTTTGGGAATTTGAAGTTACATAGGACCAGATCATTAGAACTTATAGTCTAGCATTCCATCAACAGTCTAGACAAAACTGTGCTAGCTTCATGAGAGCCTCCAAGCTGGAAAACATATAGGTTATTTCCACGCAAACAAGAAAACCCATTAAGCAATTATACAAAAAAAATTAAAATAAAAAAGATTTTCATTCATAAACAGAAATTTTGAAAGAATTTATGATGTACACTTAAAGGGACATCCTTGGAAGCAACGTACGACCTCCGAAGCTCAGACAAACTTGAAACGATACCAACAAGGTGGAAAACGACGACCAAAAACTCAAGGCAATAAAAGGAAGATTATGATAAAGGTAACAGAACCGACCAGCATTAAAGCCAAAGAGATCCCAAGAAAAAAACAAGCAAAAGTTGCAGTAGAAAAATAGGAGAAGGTCACGTGCGTATGGTGCCCGGAAGAAGAAAAAGAACAGAAAGCGTCACGTGAGATCAGGATTGGAATGGGAAGATGAGGAGGAGACTTCAGAATTTGGATTATCATTGAACATGGTTCACAAATTGCAGTTGATGGTTGCTCTCCTGCTGTCCTGTTTTTCAGTTTTACTTTGTGGATTTTTTTTTTTTTTTTTGGGTTCGGGAAGGATATCCCATTTCGTTTCAGTTTTCAAGACGTACATACTCTCCTTTTTTATTGGTGAAATCGAGCAAAAAACAGGGATAAGCATGACAGACTACATAAAAATTTTGTACTTATCGTTTTTTTTTTTTAAATTCTAGTTGGTTTTGGTTCTTTCCATCAGAAAGCATTTCAACTATATATTTTTTTATTATAATTTTAATAACCCATGCAAAATGAAAAATTATGTAAAATTCATCATTAATAAGTATAAATTTATTTTTGATAATTAATATTATAAAAACTAAAAGCATAATATTCTGCTAATATTAATACATAATTACATCCAGAGTTTTAACATGCCGTGACAAATAGATGCACTGATAAACTTGGCAGAACAGAAAGGAACATTGTTACAATAATTAATAATATGATAAATAAACGAGTGGCATCGAGGCACACAACACATATAGCAGTTTTGTCAGTGCAAAGGTTTAAGTCGAGTTTTCCTCCACCAGGCACAAAAAGCAGACCCCTTTTTCTTTGTGCGGTGATTTACTCCCATTATTTTATCTAAAGTTTTATTGACCGGTTGTTGTGGGGTGGATGAAAGGGCCGGGAACTACATATATTCTATATAAATTTACTAGATAATAACTCCATCGCTAGAATAAATGAAGCAAGCCCCTTTGGAGGGGAGGTTTGTAGCTGTTAGAATGAGGATCCTCGTTTGCTCTTTCGCCATTTTCTATGTCCATTCTTGCTGCAATCTGGGGTTTTTGACAGAAACCAAACCCAGTTCATTCAGATGATCAAAGTGATGAGATAGCTAAGTATTTGTAAACTCAACACTCCCCCTATTCTTGCTTATATATATAATTACCTTCTTTTCCAGGACATAATTATCTTGCCTCAGTTGCTTCTCCTGTTCAATATTATACCAAATAGGTCAGAAGAAAAACAACAGATTTATAACTAAAAGCAACAATCTTCAACAATTGCTAATGCCTTGTTATAGTTTGTTAGGAATTACCAAGATTAATGATTCTTCCTTTACTTGCTGCTATATCTTTGAGATTTTTTTAACTTCACATGGGAAGTAGCTTTTGCTTTCACCTTTATGTTTAAATACTTCACTCTTGACATGTTTCACTTGCCTTTTCTAGCTGCACTACTCCTACAATCTACATGCACCAGATCACTGTTACATCTCTTAATTACTATATTACAGTTTCTTTAACTATACATGATTTTGCTACATTCATGTGTAACATATTCATATCAATCACCAAAACGTTATAATAGTAGTAGGCTGACTAGAAGCAGCAAGCACCAATTAATTAATCATGCGAGAGCTGATCTGAAATACATCCATATTCATATGGTACTGGCTTTAACAACTTTCAGCACATGAAAAAGCTCTACCTTGACTTCGCACAATATGTATATGCTGTATATTACCAAAAGACTGGCAGAAACAAAAGGCCCTCCTCAACGAGTTGTAGACCTTATTTGCTACTAACTAATAACGCAACCAGGGCAGATAAATAGATCATTCTTGATATAGATAAGAGCAACTAACTATATACAGAGTATAAGCTACTTGATAGAACTATTGAAACACCACTGGGGACAACTGGACATTCGGAGCACAAACACAATCCAAATCACCTTTTGGCTCTTTATTAAAAACCTTTTTATGTCAAATGCAACTCAAAATCAAAAGCATTTAGGATGCTATTACTTTTACAGTTCGAACCTACATTTGAGAAACTAATTAAGAAATATTATTACCCTTTTTTTTTTCTTTGCTCAGCACTATAACCCTTTTTTAAAATTTATTATTCTTGAAATTAACCATATACATATTTCAAGCATTTTATCTCATAATTGTATTTCAACCACAATATTACCAAAAGCTTTGACTCATTTACAGAAGTTTCTAGCGCACCTTCAAAAGGGCATAAATTTAAGATGAAAGATTTAATCAAGAATGTGTACCTTCTCCTGCAATTCAGCAACAGTGTCCATCATTACCTGTGTCTGCATGAACATCATGAAGATGAAGATTATTTTCAGATTTATTTCGTGTTTTACAATACATAGCCATCATATCTATTCCAATGTGAAAGTTAGCTTGTATCTAGAAGCATAAAAATCAGACGCATCAAAAATCAGACCTTGATCTTTCAATTAATGTGATATAAAAATGATTATCCTCAAAAAACCTATCAAAGTTAACAACAGATAAAGGGTTTTTATAGTTAATGTTTATTTCATATAAAGATATCAGAATGCCACTAAATAAGATTTTAAAGATTGTTTACTTTGCTCGTTTCTACTTCAATCAATAATCAATAATGATGAGACCGATCTATGGCACCACTAAGTTGATCTTTCTGGATTCGATTATAGAAAAGGTCAAATTTAACATTGAATTGAGTGGCAATGACCTTTCGATCCCTCATTTGCCTTAAAATGGAATCCAACTGCATCTCCAGCTGTATGAGCTGTGTCAGATTTAGATGTTCAATGTTTTGACCTTCAATGTGCCTACAAATATAAATTAATCCCAATCAACTAATTCCTTGTTATATAAATGGTAAAAAATAAGCATATCCAATTAATTAAGTGCAGAGTGATCACTACCTTCCAACTAGTTCCTGTAGGCTAGTACCTTTCCAAAGGTCCATGAATTCACCATGAATCTGCTGTTGATTAACCAAAAGTCAAAAAGAAAGTCAATACTTAGATAAAAGCTCTTTCAAAGGTTAACAGTCAGCTTTCTCTATATTTTCATGTTTCAAACTGAGGACAAAATCTATTCTTCAATGTCATCATTGTAATGAACATATCAGCTCTACCCTTTTAAAGCTAAGAGGTATGACCAGCTCTGATCTTAAGTAATGGCAGCATAATGTTACTCTCGGTCAATGTTATATGATCCAGACCTACTGTCAAGGTTTTGGTTTTGACTTCACCATAAATCCATGACTGATATTTAGAATACCTTTTTTATATTAAGAAAAAAAAGTACTTAGTTTATCATGTAAGATACATATATACATGGAGTCATTCCTGAGTGAATATTTCTCTCATAAAACATTAACCTCAAATTGCAAAAGTGATCTACTAGCAAAAATTATACAACATTTTAGCACATATTATCCAATAGTTCATACTATAATTAAGTTCTCTGTCCTTCCTTTTGTGGCTAATATGCAATTCTATCTCTCTCTCTCTCTCTCTCTTATTATGGTCCAACTAGCTTCACCAATTCTTCAAAAAGATATTCTAACTCTGATAATCTTGATTAAGATTAAAATTGTTTTCTGCTGATAACTGCCAAAACAATGGACCCTCATACAGAGAAGAAAGTTTGTGGTAGTTAATCATTTTGATATTAAAGTTTTTATTTGTATAGTACTTCTCAGATTTTCTTTTTTTTTTTTTCTTTTTATATGAGGCTGTTATAGATTGAATATTAGTCACTGGAACTAAGAATTACTATTCTATCAAACAGATCACATTGTCATTGGTAACCTCTCAAATTTTGATATTTAAATGATTATGTAATTAGAAAAAAAGCGTAATAATTTGACAAACCTTTGCTTCATCACCACTAGTGCAAACAACAGCTTCTTCTTCTACATGAACTAGGTAGCGTTCAAGAATTTTTCTCAAACTGTACCTCAAGGAATCAAGCATAAAACAAAGTAAGTAGATTTAAAACCTATAGCAATTCAAAAATTTTAACCATCAAAGTTAATTATACACATAAAATATAGGACTTACTCTTGCTACTATTGCAGTAAAATATATAGTGTTTTGCAAGTTTTTTTTTGCTTAAAAATTTTGAAATTTGATTGAATATAGTGCGTTTAATGTGTGTTTTCTTGATATTTAGGTTTCAAGTATATGGGATGTGAAAACCTTGTAATTTCTTGCAATTTCATACAAGATTAGGTTATCCTAATTCTTGTAATTTTCGGCCATACAAGAACCAAGAATAGCCAAATCCTATTGATGTTAGGACTCTTGATTTCACTTGGATAAAGGAATCTTACTTGCACTATGATTCTTAATTACATTCTTCTTTCCCATATTGAAGAGGAAGCCTACGTGCAATTGGTAATTGAAGAAGTATACTCAGACAAGAACTCTTAATAACATTTGGCCAAGGAGAAATTTTGCAATATAAGGACTCTTTAATTAATTTTGGAAGAGTTTTATACTAGAAGGACACTACACGAGTAAAGGTTAGGAGTTTGTATTGAAAGACTCTTGCAATTTTATCTTAAGAGTTTAATTGTGATGCAAATACATGGTCTTGGATAAACCATGTTTATCTGAACCACCCTTCAAGATGGCATACAAATAGACGATCAAGATCAACCCCAAGAAGTCCCATTCAGCTAAGGCACTCGAAGAAGCAAGACTCCACATTCGGCCAACTACTTTGAAGATCAAAATAATCTTTATCACATAGAATTTGTAATCTTAACCCCCATTATAGTCGAACCTACCACTATAAATAGGAGGCTCTCTCTTGTTTTTGAAGACACTTCACTACACTTCTCTTCTCTTCTTTTCTTTTCTTGTAGTTTTGATTCTTAGTTTTTCTTTATAGTTTTCTTTGTAGTTTGGCTAAGGTGATAGATTAGTCAATGCAAGATTATGTTTTCTCAATTCTTTATTTTAATCAAAGCATTCTTTCATTTAAGATCTCTTTCTTTAAAGCTTTTTTACACAATTTTGGTCTACAATACCATTTGCAATCTTTCTTTTATTTTCGGCTATTCAAGTTTCTTTCTTTTCTCCCAAGCTTTTGGTTTACAATTTTTGTTTTATGCTATTTACAACTTTTGGCCTACATTAATCTTTCTTCTCTAAAAACTTTTGGTTATTTATTTCTTGTTCTATTTAGTCACAATTTAAGATTTTCAAGTGACAATCGGAAAGATAGATCTTGGCCTATACAATCGTTCTTTATATTTTCTTTCAATTGTTTTCATTGCAATCAAACCAACTTTCTTATTATTTTAGATATCAGGCTAGTAGTTGATCACCTTTCGTACTTGATTTTCACCCAACAATTCAATTATATAATTCTTGTGGGATGACACTCCACTCACTCACTACTACTACTTGATTACGATCTGTGAACTTGCAGTTATTACAAAAAGTAGCAATCAAGCTCTTGGCTATATTTTTGAGAATTATATCAGTGTTCAAGATCAATATCAATAAGTATTTCTACTCCCTTGTAATCTAAACACTTTTCTTTTATTTGTTTAAATTGTTTGGATCTTTCTTTGTTTGTATGCACAAATCTCAAAATGTTGACTTAGCTCCACTTGACAAAAAAATTGAAAGAACTCTTAGGTGCTTATGAAGAGAGAAACAACACCTCCTACATCAACTCCAATGGCAAATGCAAATAATGAAGGACAAAAAACATTGAAGGACTATCTGGCTCCTAATGTGGATGGATTCCAACCATCCATAAAAAGGCTGGCGATCCAAGCAAACAACTTTGAAATAAGACCTTCAATTATTCAAATAGTTCAAACTTCGGTACAATTTGGAAGATTACTTAATGATGATCCAAATTTCCATTTTTCTAATTTTTTAGAATTGTGTGATACATTTAAGTATAATGGTTTTTCTGATGATGCAAGCCAAGATAAGGAACAAAATAACTACACTCATGCAAGTAAATGGTGAAATTTTATATAATGCGCAGGAGGGATTCAAAGAGTTGTTACGAAAGTGTCCACACCATAAGCTCTCACAATTGTTACAAATTCAGATCTTATACAATGGATTGACACCATCCATGAGAACTACTCTTGATTCAGCTGCGGGAAAACCATAATGAGTAAGATAACAGAAGAGGCCTATGAATTGATAAAAGAGATGGTAGCAAATAATTACCGATGGGGTATGGAACGAAAAATGTATAAAAAATCTGATGGTGTTTATGAGCTTGACACTCACATCGATCATCTCATAATTAGCTAGTTTGACTAAGAAAATTGATGCCTTAGGAACCCAATCCCTAATTTCTCCTATTCACGCCATCCAAAGCCTCTTTGTTACATGTGAAATTTGTGAAAGATCTCATGCCAAATGCTAATTTAGGATAAAAACAATCCAATATACCCAACGATCCAAGCATGCCTATAACCCATATAATAACACTTATAACCTAGGCTAGACAAACCACCTAAACTTTGATATGATATCAATTCTTTGAATGCTTACTTAAATGCTTTGAAAGCATAATATGAATGATGTTTTTAAATGAGCTATATGCATGTGTGAAAATAATGCTTGATTTGATAAGCTATATAAGTTTATACTTACTGAACTGTGTTTTGCTCATTCTACTTTTACTTTCCCTTTACAGATGATTGAAAATGATAAATTTGTTTACTCTTATGAGAAACTAGAAATCAAATTGAAAAGATTACTAAGGCATTTGGGGAATTGTTGGATTATGAAACGATTTTATAATTTTATTAGTTTACATTTAAGTATATGAAGATTTATCATTAGCTCAATATATCATTATAGATTTTACATATTATTTTATTAAAGAATTTTAAAATGATTAAAAAAAGCTTCATATTGTTTTGAAGTTTTACTTCAAGGTAATATGACTGTGTGGTATCTTGACCTTGGAAAGTGACAAAATGATTCTTACATCTCGAACAATGATAAATGATGGATGAACTCTTTACAAAGAAGTTAGACTGGGAAAACTTGAGAGCTTGGAAATTGTCTTGGGCTGTCTTACATAGTTGATAAAAGAGCTCATCATTAACAAGTTAATGAAAATTGAATAAAGGGCGCGACATGATGATGATAGCAATTAGTAGTTTTTTTTTTTCTTTTAAAAAGCAAATATATTTATCGAATAAAAGGAAGCAAAAATACAAAACAGGGTTTATTGAAAAGGGAACCCTATAGAGCAAATGGAAATAATTACAACCAAGCTATCATGTCTTGAAAACATAAAACCCCTGCTTTAGCTAGCCTATCAGCAATGGAGTTAGCCTTCCAAGGAACGTAACTGAATGAGACTCCTAAGAGTACTTTCGAGAATGCCAATGTGGTTCGTAATATGCTTCATTTGCCAAGGAACCCCAGAACTATTGCTAGCCCAAAGTTCTACATTGGTAAAGTCACCCTCCATAACAAGCTAGTGAGTATAAGCCTATGCTGAAAAAGAGAAAAGATAGAGATCTTCTTTGATTGCCGTGAATTCAGCAAAGTTAAAGTCCTCAATACCGATGGACTTCGAAAAAAAACTCTTTTAAAAGAACCATGGGGCTCTTTCAAGACTTCCCCTATTGCAACCGGCCTAGTTTTACCATAAGCGGATCCATCAATGTTAAGCTTCTTAGTGCCAGGCATAAGACATGCCCAAGAGGCTTCAATCTTGCCTTTGGCAATAATAGGAGGGAAGCAGATGTCTTGGGTGTTGAGAAAGAAGTCATTGACAGAAGCAACGAGTGAGGGCCATTCACCTTTACTCTAGTTGGCAAGGCGCACTTTAATTATAGCAAACAACTGCATAAAGTCGAGTACTTTTCCTTAGAAGATGGTGTCATTACAGTGAAGACCAATAGACCATAGTATCGCAAAAAAAAAAAAAAAAGCATTCCCCAGATCCTGGTGTTTTGCTTAGGATGGAAGAGATTTTGTCAAGATTTAAAGAAAGAGGATATGTCCCTAGAGATGGCCCAAATGACTCCGCGTAGTTTATTGTATGCCATAAAAACTTTCCATGAGAATTAGCATGTAAACAGTAAATGATTAACAAATTCAACTTCAATTTTGCAGAATGGACAAAAGACTAAGTCGTGATCAATAAGCCCTCCCTTAAATAGCTAAGTTTTGACTACCACCTTACCGCTGATAACCTGCCAGCAAAAAATATCAACCTTGGGAGGAGCAATTCCAAACCAAACAGCTTTCCATATGTTGTTTGAGTGGAGTGTCCTGGTATAGCATGAGCTACAGAAGGATTTTGTTGAGTAAGTTCCATCAGAGGAGCCTTTCCAAATGACTTTGTCTGGATTAGTAGTATGTGGTACATAACAGTTAATCAGTGAAAAGAAGTTATCCCACTAAAGTAGCTCTTAATCGAATAAGCTTCTATGGAGGCCAATGTTCTATGATTAATGATTGTTAACCCAATTTCCAAACTCCATAATATAGCCATTTTTGTTAAGAGCAAGGGCATAGATTCGAGGGAAGTGGGCAGAAAGAATTGTGCCTTCAATCTATTCTTTACACCAAAATATGATGCTAACACCTCGGCCAAAAGAGAACCCAATATTTGAATGTACCAAAGAATGGAATTGATTCGAGGAGGTTAGCGGTTTTGTGATATGGAACCAGACTAGTGAAGCTTTTCGCGAAGTGGAAGATAGCAGGTTCATTGGATCGGACCAATTTTTTTACAGAGATAACTCTTCGCCAAAAATAGTCTTATTCATTAGTGTAACGCCAGATCCATTAGTATAGAAGACCCCTATTCTTGAGTTTAAGATCAAATATACCAAGGCTTCCAAAGTTTTTTCCTCTGTGAACCGCATCCCAATTTACCCAGGGCATTTTGTTCTTGCCTTGAGCACCAGACCAAAGAAAGTTTCTTTGGATTTTATCAATTTC